GTAGAGGTCATGCCCGTGTTCTAAACTCAAAACGCAGAGGTCGTGACCTCATTTGAGATTCAAAACGCAGAGGTCGTGACCTCATTTGAAATTCAAAACGCAGAGTTCGTGGACTCAAAGCGCAGAGTCCATGCAGAACCCACCTCTGCGTTTCCCAAATACAAAACGCACACGGACTGTGCATTCTCCAACAGACATCTAACTCTGTGACGCAGAGTTAAAGCACAAACACACACATAACGTGCGTTCTTCAACAAACTCAACCATGCGTCTCAAACTCTTGATGCAGAGTTGAATTTCAACGCACAAGTGACCTGTGCGTCTCCAATTCCAGAACGCATGCGGCCTGTGCGTTTCAAACCTTTGACAAAGGTTTAACTCTGCGTCTCAGGCCTTAGACGCAGAGTTAAGGTTCAGAACGCTAGGCGTTTGACTTGTTCAAACACAAGCTGAACGGCCTCAAAACCGTTATCCCACGTTCTGAGGGATTTTCGCCCACTTAGGAGCGGATTTAGGGGTTAGTTATACCCCTAATCCCCCTATAAATAACCGACTTACTCAACTGAGTAAGGGGTTGACGTGTGCTGGCACCAAAACCGCTTAAGGTTAGTGAATCTCAGCAGCTAAACCGCACGGAGGAGGAGATTTCTTTGGAGCTCAACAAACTACTCAGTAGTTAGCAAATTGAATCTAAGGAGATCCCCTCATCAACGGCAAATCAACTTGGCTATCAATCGAATCTTCGGTTCTAACAACTCTGTTACAGAGTTTCAACTTGTTCTGAGTTCTGAAACTCCTTTAAGAGTTCGTAATTAAACTTGCAACGCGAGTTAATTACACCAAATCAGTAATTCGGTTTTCAACAACTCTTTTCAGAGTTTCCAACTCGTTCTGAGTTTCTTATACTCGTTAAGAGTTCTAAACCGAGTTCATCACACAAATCAATCGTTCTCGTGAGATAGTACGGTCGGATCGTCAACGGCAGGGGCGGAGCCACCCCTGTTCAAAGTAGTGCACTTGAACCACCTCAAAATTACAAATTCCCTACATATATTATAAATATCAGCAATATATCAAAGTGGGTCTAATCCCAGCGGCTTAGGGAATGGAGAATAGAACGTTTATGTCAAATGGTCTTGGGTTCCAAACCTGTGCACTCCATTTAAAATTTCTATTTTTCATACTCTTCAGTCTTCTCTTCTTTGTTTCCCTCTATTTTTAGTAATACACATTTCGTTTTGTCCCTGTTCCCCTCTATTTCTTTGTTTACTCTTCTCTTCTTTTGTTTATTTTGCACCTCTAACTTTTTTTAAAATCTCTATTTGTTTATTAATTTACCCCCATCGTCGATTAAACTTTTGATTGTTTATTTCGAACCACCACTCAAAACGCCGTAGATCCGCCACTGGTCAACGGAGAGCAAGTTCGACGCAAGCAATTGAAGGAGGCACTCTATCGCTACCAAGAAGAACCCAGTTTTAAACAAAGAGGAGAATCAAATTTATTCTCCTCTCTTTTGTAATCGGAATCCAAATTGTAATTGATTTTGAGAGAATACAAGTCAATTTTTCTTTCATTGTCTTTTTGCATCAAATTTTCCACAAACACTCCTGTTGTAATTGTGTCTACAAAATTATTTCAAAGATTATGGCTGCTAGAATTCAGAAAATTATAGGATATCTGATCAATGATGCCAGAGTGCTTTTGTTAAAGGAAGACTTATCTCAAACAATATTTTGCTTGCTCATGAGCTCATCAAACATCATGGAAGAAGGCACATTTCACCAAGGGCAGTTCTTAACATAGACTTGAGGAAAGCATTTGATACAATAAGTTGGAATTTCATCAAAGCCATGTTGACAGGTCTGGGATTTCCAGAAAACATGATTATGTGGATTATGGAATGTGTTACTACTACAATATTTTCTTTATCCCTTAATGGGTCATTATATGGATAGTTTGAGGGAGCTAGGGGATTGAGACAAGGTGATCCACTATCTCCATATCTATTTGTGATTGGTATGGAATATTTGTCCAGGAAGCTTAAAACTGACAGTTCCTTTAAGTTTCATCCAAAATGTGCTGGCATGGAGATCACTCACTTGATTTTTGCTGATGACTTACTCCTATTTAGTAGAGCTGATATGAATTCAATAAGTAAATTGAACTATTGTCTTCAAGAATTCAGAAGGGTGTCAGGCTTGGAGGCTAACTCTAGCAAATGTTCTATATACCTTGGTGGGGTTGAAGATAATATAAGGAATCAGATTTATTCTTATTTGAACTTCTCGGAGGGCTCATTATCTGTGAGATATTTGGGAATGCCATTGATATGTAAAAGACTTTCTTATCTGGATTGTTCACCTTTGATCAGCAAAATCTCTGAACAATTATAGGGTTGGCAAAGCAGGAGAAAATTGTCGTATGCTGGGAGAATACAATTGATCAAATCAGTTATTTTGGGGATCCATAATTATTGGACAAGCAATTATGTTCTGCCGATCAAGCTGTTGGAAAAAATTGACAAACTTTGCTCTGCTTTCTTATGGGGTCAAAAAATTAGATTGTTTTCCTGGAGTGATACTTGTAAAGACAAAAAGATGGGCGGACTGGGATTATTTTCTGCAAAGAAATTGAACTATGCAGCTACAATAAAGATTCTATGGATGATACACATTAAAAAAGATTTGTTGTGGATTGAATGGGTGCATAGAAACTATCTTCGCCAAACTGATATATGGTTAGTTCAACCAAAGAAAAATGACTCTTGGATGTGGAGACAGAAACTATCTTCGCCAAACTGATATATGGTTAGTTCAACCAAAGAAAAATGACTCTTGGATGTGGAGACAATTGCTTAAGGTGAGAGATATGGCTTTAAGTAGTTCAACCAAAGAAAAATGACTCTTGGATGTGGAGACAATTGCTTAAGGTGAGAGATATGGCTTTAAGAAGATTTGGAAACAGGGATAATCTGCTAAAAACTACCTGTGACTGCTACATTAATAGCAGACTTTAGATTTCTTTCATATACCAAGCTTTAAATCAATCAATCGGCCATGTAGCTTGGTCAGACTCAGTTTGGGGTCGCTTACACTATCCAAAGCACTCAGTTATCTTATAGTTAGCTACCCTCTCTAGATTATTGACACAGGATAGGCTATGCAAATTGGGAATTCTGGAAACAAACCACTGTGTCCTGTGTCCAGCTTCAAATCGTCAAGAGGAAACCAGCAAGCACTTCTTCTTTGAATGTCAATACTATGCATATGTTTGGAATAAAGTGATGGATTGGTTGAATTATGCTTGGAGATCTTGCAGCTGGAACCAAATCATAACCTGGTATAGCAATAACTTGAAGGGGGATGGTTTCATGAAGAAAATGAAAAGAATGGCATTATCGGCAGCTGTATATTGGATATGGAAGGAGAGGAACCTGAGGATATTTTAGCAGAAAATGCATTCTCCTGATCGGCTATTCAGAGATGTGAAGTTCTCTATCTTTTCTAAAGTTTTTAATGAAAATATTCCTGACCATGTAAGAGAAAAAATTGAGAAACTGTAAGCATGATTTGCTTTCAGGTTTAGTTTCATATCAGACATGATTCTGATATCTTGATGTACTCCATATTTTTAAAGTTTAGTGATGAATAAAAGTTTATTTCATTGACCAAAAAAAAGTTTTGAAATAGATATTCTCTTTTATAAGTAGTAAAGATAGATTTCCTAGTAATACAAATGTTATTTAATTATCTACATTGGGAAAACTAGCTATTGTTTGAGTAAAATCTGCTATTCCAGTATTTGATGACGTAATATTATTTTTAAAATTAATCCAATGACGTGTAGTTTTTTTAATGGAAGGACTTGTATTATTTAGTTCATCCTTTTCTGTAAAGTGAAAGTTTAAATACTATTTTTTCTCAACGCAGCTTCTTGCCAACGAAAGTAGGAGTGAAGCGTTTTTTGTTCATTAATTAATAGTGACATGCATAGCATTTTATTTATATACATACTACATACTATTTATATACATATTACATATAATTTCACTTACATCATATGTATGAGCTCGATCAATATGATCATTTCGTGACTCCATAATTAAATTTAACAAATCAATAACGTGACAATATCTTTTGCATTTCTTCATAGGGTTTTTTGGTCCAACTCTTCCGTCCTAAGCAAAAAAATGTCCCAACTACTTTTTCTGAAAATTTTATACTCTTTATTTCTTTTTTAAAACTGAAAATTCATTTCTACAATTGCAAAAAAATAGAAGAAATAAAAAAGAAAATTGTCATGTCATCAATCTACTAAATATTTGACTATAAGCTTAGAGAATGTCACGTTGGGCCTATACACATGGATAAGGAAGATGAAAGGTAAATTGAAACTTCATAGAAAAGGAGAAGAGTTCAACATTGCTTTGGCAGCAATTTGTTAATTTGTGCTAAAAATATAGGAAAACTTTACTATATCATTTACTGTTGGGTAGGGGTGCATTCAGTTCAGATACGGCTCAGATATGATACTTTTCATTGTTGGGTAGGGATGCATCAGGTTCAGATACGGCTCAGATATAATACTTTTCGTATTTGTTTACTCAACTCGGATACGGATATACCTTGGTAAGAAAAATTAGTATCTACATCCACTAAAATCAGATACGGATATGGTTATACATGCGGATACATAACGGATATGAGAAAACTAGATAGTATTGAGAAAAATATAGTTCATGTGAGAAAAAGAGTTCATTAATATGTTCATTATATCTGAAAATTGAAGATTAGACATTTTAATTACGGAAATTAACCTCAAATCCATAATCTCTAATGATTAAAACTATCGTAACAGTATGACTATAATGTATTCAGATATTTCAGATACGAATCCAGATATTTCACTATAAAACCATATCCGTAACTATATCATATTGGTTATAGATTTGAATAACTATATTCATATCCTAACATATATGATTGTGGCGATTTTCTCGGGTATAGTTACGATTTATTACCCCTATTGTTGGAGCAGTTCTGCTTATTGTCAAGCAAATTGAAGCTGTGAACAAATTGCACGACTTATGCAAGCATAAATTTTTACAAGGAGAAAAGATATTTAAAAATATATAGATATGACAATTATGATCATAGAATATGACAATTATATGTACTCCTACATAAACATATATATGACTATTATGTCAAAATTTCATGAGTACATAAAAAAGTGACGATTATTTGACTAGAAATTGAGAATAAGGGGATAAGTGAAACTATCAAAACCTCAGGGGATTTCCCGTCATTCCAGCAAATGATTACATAAAACAGTCATTAACAAATCAAAACGCAGACTCTATACGTGATCTACAGTTACAAGACACAGCTTCAAGAGTGAAATCGTTGGGCTTCATTTGTCCTTAATGAGCGAGCTAACGATAAAACTTAAACCTTCAAACAAAATTCTCTCTTCACTGTGATGCAGTCTAACAAAAAAAAAGTCCTTAAAATTCAATCTTAGCTTTCTCTTCTCTCATCACGCCTCAACTAAAATGTTTTCACTTTAATCAAGCTTCCGTCTAGTGTTAGCTCAAAACTGCCAGCCTTTCAACCTCAAAATCTCCCTTGAAATCACCAACTATTTTTGTTTCTTAGTGTGTAATAGTTTCATTATTAATTCCTAACTCTTTAACAGCAAAAATTACAGAATGAGGTAAACCTTTCCGGAGAATTCCAACGATCCCTTTCTCGTAAACCTCTCAAAGCAAGTAGAACAATATAACCTATATTTGTTAAAGATCAAAGGGAAAAAATATCCAGAAGGAAAAGAAAGTAACATTTCTTAAATATATCTTGATCAAAACAAAAGAAATTGTAGAGGTGCAAAGCTTACAGCGAAAAGAGCTCTCTCTTCTCCCCATCATCTAAAGAAGTACTCCTGAGACTGCAAATGTGCATCAGTCCTCCACCATTGATGAATACCGTGGGCAGTCTTAAAATCCGACGTCCCGCTCAAATTCACAGTCACTCTAGCTGACGGCAGAATATGCAGAGGCTCGCACTCTTTTCCAATGGCACTCAACAAAACGTCCCTCACAGAATTCTGCGTCGCCAACCTCCCGATTTCACCAGCTCCCCTATCCTCCATCTTTTTCCTATTCTCAAAATACCCAACATACCCCGAACAAATATTATCCTCTTTATTCACAAAAATATATGGTACCCATGAAGATAAAATCGCAAAATACTCCTCCGACTTAACTCGTTGGCCTTTAACAGAAGCAGCAACCTTAGCAGTGAAATAGCTTCCAGCGATTCTCATCCCATTTTTCACTCTCTCGCTCTTGATCTTCTCGATTGGTGCAGAAACGAATGGTGGATTGAAAAGATATGTTTCGAGAAGAACACCAGATTTGACCATGCTTTTGCCTGCGAGCAGTGCTATGGCTGAACCTAAAGAGTGCCCAGCTAGCCAAATATTTGTATCTCCTCCGACATGAGATACTAAGTTTTGAACTGCTTGCATTGCGATTTCAAACCTTGATGTTCTCTGGAGACCGTGGTTAAGGAATCGGAGGTCCAGTTTGAGATCTTGATAGCGAGATCCTTTCTTGGTGATTGTACCTCGAAATGCGATGACATATCCGGGGGCATTTGAAGAGAGGGTGGTGTTTGTGGGTGGTTTGAATTGGTAAATGGCGCCAAAGATAGAGGAATCAGCGGTGTCTATGAGCTGTTCTATTAGTTCAAAATGGAAGAAGTTCCACCACGAAGGAGCACGGGCTTCATGCCCGTGACGATTTATTTGTCGATCTCGTTCTAGAACATATGCACCCTGAACTAAACTGGCTGCTACAGATCTACAGTGATGTGGGCATGTCCTGTTAAATGTCAAAAGCAAGAAATATATTAGCTTCATTCATTGAGATGTAATGAAAACGCATAGTTTTTTTTTCTTTTATTCAGGGAATCAAATTTGCTAGAAAAATTGTATTGGGAACTTTTTCCCATATGCTATAACAAAATCTCTGCATGTTAGATGGAATGGCAAGATTTTAATGCAAACCTTACATTTCTACAGAGAAAAAAATAGATATGCATAGAAATGAAGAGGAGCTTGTCGAAACCTTTTATCCTGAATCATAAAATGCAACAAGATTACTCCCTTTTTAAATGAAAATAAGAATACTCCTTATTCTGCCAGTAAACATATGCTAAAACTTTTAAGCCTGGGTTATAAAACTGCACAATGTTCCTAAAATTATCAGATGGCAATCTTTATTTGGCACTGATTTCTCCATTAATACAAATATATGGACAATATGGTGACGTTTCAGGCTTGCTTAAACAATTGGATAACTGATTAATGCAGATGGTCCAAAATATTAATAAGATTCAGATCTCTGGTTGAAATAAGAAGAGAATAGTCCTCTTCCTTTGGGCAGTACAAACATTTTGATGGATTTTGTTTGGTTCCCTAGAAAAAGAAAAAAAAATCTACGCATAACACGAACAGCATTTTGATCCCACTGAACACTCTTAAGTTAATTGTAGCAAATCCACGCACCTAAAGAAACTCATCATAAAAAATCATTAAAGGAAAAAAGAGTACCATAAATAACAACCATCAGCAGCAAACTATCTTTCAAGGACTACAACACTAGTAATGGTAACATTTGATTGATAATACAGAATGCCCATATATCCAAAAGTCCCAAATTTTCTTGCTATACAAAGAAGCAATGGGAAACTACCCTTAAGAATGTACACATGTACTTGTGAACATCAACAACTCCTCTTAGTATCCCTACCTCCACCCTGAAACTTTGAGGATGTAGTAAGGGCTGAAGGACATTAATTTTTTGCTCTAACACTACAGCCTGGATACCTTTCTCTTGCTACGAACCTGATTTTTCGATATTTCAATATATTCTGTTTTGTTAGTGTTAAAGTAAGAGAGAGAGAGAGTCTTGAGTAAATTTTCCTTAAGTTAGATATTGAGTGTGCACATATATTAATACAAGTAGATGAGGGTGAGGTATGCTCTCACAACCAATATGAGACTAAAAACCCACTACTAACACTATTATTAACACTATTATCAACAGCCTCCCTCAAACTCATGTTGGATCAAACAAAATGAGTTTGTGTATAAGAAATTGGAACCAATGAACATGTAAGGTCTTTGTGAAAAAATTTGCAAGCTCGTCGGCGGATGACACATGAGGAAATAGAATTGTCTTATCCTTGATAACTTGTTGACGGACAAAATAAGTGTCGATCTTAATGTGTTTGGTCCTCTTATGAAATACTGGATTATTAACAAACTGGATGACACTCTTATTATCATAGTATAGAGGAGTATGAGTGGAAACAGAAATACCGAAATCACCAAGAAGAAGACGAAGATGAATAATCTCTTTAGCTATTGTGGACATTGCACGATACTCTGCCTCGATGCTAGAAAGAGCAAGAACATCTTGTTTCTTACTCCGTCAGGAAATTAGAAAATCACCAAGAAATATATAATAACCGATGGTAGACTTCCTGATGGTGGGATCACTAGCACAATCAGCATTAGAATATGCACAAAGCTTTAACTTAGGACAACATAGTGTACAGAACGTGGGACACTAACAAATTGACTAATAATGCCAATAACATGAGAGATATCTGGTCGAGAGATGTACATATAGACCAACTCACCAACAAGATGTCGATATCGGATAGGATCAAATAGAGGCTCACCATCAGTAGAGTGAAGTTTGACATTCTGTTGGAGTGGAGTATCGATAGTTACATTGTCAGTTTAGCTCAGCTCGATCTAGAATATCCGAGAGATACTTCTGTTGAGATAGTAGTACACCTCGCGAGCCTTGAGAAATTTTTAGACCAAAAAAATACCAAAGAGATCCAAGATCCTTTTTGTGGAACTATTGTTGTAATTGAGATTTTGCGTACTGTATACCAGCCACGTCATTACCTGTAATGATCATATCATCTATATAGATGAGTAATAAAACTCTGTCACGCGATGTAGTGCGAACAAACAGAGAAGCATCTTGATGACTTTCCATAAAGCCCGTCTTGAGCATGACATCGCGAAAACACTCAAACCAAACGCGTGGTGCCTGCTTGAGACATAAACAGCACGACAAAGGAGACATACATGTCCCAGATGAATATTGGACCCTGGAGATGGTTGCATATATATTATCTCAGATAAAGAGCCATGAAAAAAATTTTTGACACTCATTTGGTATAAGGACCAACGATGAGCAGCAGGGACCACAAGAAGAGTATGAACGTTGGGTATCTGAGCAATAGGAACAAAGGTCTCCTCATAATCAATACATTGTTGCTGAGTAAAACCTCGAAACGAGCTTTCCGATGTTCAATGGTGCCATCAGGACGATACTTGACCTTATAAACTCATTTACTAGCCAATTAAAGAGATGCCAGGGGGATAGGGAATAATATCTCAGGTATGTGTTTGCTGAAAGGCCTGATATTACTCAGCCATAACCTATCGCTACTCTGAAAATTAAACGGCCTCTTGAAAGGACTTTGACTCAACTGTAGTATGAAGACAGTAAGAAAATTATGAAAGATAGATAAATAGGAAGTAACCGAAGCATACCGTGCAGACATGACATGTGGGCGTTTGCCTCAGGCGGGGTAGATGTTGGCGCAAGTGCATGGAGGTCAACAGTATTTTCTAGAGTTGGTGTCGTGTCTACGGGATAGGGATCAGATTGTGAAAGAGAAGGCTCGGGTGAGGGAGAGTCAACAGAATGAGATGGAGAGATTTCAGGAAGATCTCGAAAGGAGAACTGAGGTAAGAAAGTAGGTGATGCAGCTTGCGAAGAAGCATGATAAGTAGTGTGGAGGAAATTAAAATCATCGGAAGCAAAATAAAATGAAGAATCCTCTTCGAACTGAACGTGTCGAGATATATGAACTCGACGAGATGTGGGATTATAAAAATGATAACCTCGATATTCCGAACTAATTCCTAAATAGACACAAAGAACAATCTCTGAGAGATAATTTATCACGTTCGTGAGATGACAGAAGAACGAAATAGCAATAACCAAAAACACGGACCAGATCATAATAGGGAGGATGAGTATAAACACGACTATGAGTAGTAGCACCGGAAAGAGAGCTAGATGGAATGATATTAATAACATGAGTAACAGTGAGAATGGCATCAGCCAAGAAACTATGAGGAACAGAGTAAAAAATGAACATGAATTGAGCAGTATCGAGCGGTATTGAGAATATGACGATGTTTGCGTTCAGCAATACCATTTTGCTCATGAGTATAGGGACATGACTGTTGAAAGATAGTCCTATGAGGGGACATGACTGTTGAAAGATAGTCCCATGAGAGGACATGATAGAGCGCATGGTAGAGGATAAGTACTTTTTAGCACAGTCAGAACGAAAAACTTTAATATGAGCTTGCCATTGAGTGAACATCATCGCAGTGAAGGCTTGATAAGCAGCAAGTACATCAGAGCGGTTTTTAGTAGGTAGACCCATGTATAACGAGAAAAATTATCGATAAAACTAACATAATATAAGTAACCAGATGAAGAAGACAGAGGAGCTGACCCTCAGATATCAGAATGGACCAAATCAAATAAGGAAGTAAAAATAGATGTACTGGTTGAAAATGATAGAGCAGTGAATTTAGCCAATTTACAACCAATACATGACTCAATATGAGAACGAGAAGATACGGGACCAAGTACTTCGAACTGGATAAGACTTTCTAACCTTTTATAAGACACATGACCAAATCGTCTATGCTATAAATCTGTGGAAAGTAAGGTAAAGAATTTTGAACTTACAGAAGCAATAAGAGAACGTGGACGTATGGACTCTTGAAGGTGAAGATATTCCAAAAAATACAGTTTGTCTCTTCCAACCGGTCCCAACAGTCTTGCCCGTCTATGAATCTTGTACAATACAAGTATCAGAAAAAAATAAGACAAGTAGGTCATCCATACATAAGAAGCTAACAGAAATTAAATTCAAACAATTGAGCCACATAGATGGGGTCAAGAGTTAGACGACCATATGGGTCAGTTTGTGGGGTGATAGAGTCATACTGAGTGATAGACAAAGGTTGTCCAGTAACCGTGTAGATAGGAGAAAGAGAAGAGGAAGTGAAGACAGAAGATAAGAGGGAGGCATTACGAGTCATATGAAATGAACAGCCAGAGTCAAAAATCCAGAGATCATTCATACCAGAGACCGAATGATTGGATGAAGAACCAGCAAGACGCATACCAGAGAGTTGTGCAGTAGATGTAGAGGCTCTATGCTAAGAGCATCAATTTGATGACAAATATCAGAGAGTTATACAGCAGATGGAGAGGTGATATGCTGAAGAACCATAATTTGACGGCTAATTTTTGTAATAGCTTGAAGAGCCTCAATTTGGCGGCGAATATCAGAGAGTTTTGCAGCAGATGGAGAGGTGGTATGCTGAAGAGCTGTAATTTAACGACTAATATCTGCAATAGCTTGAATGGTATGGTAACATTGACCGGTAATCCTGGTGCACTAGAGGATCAGGACTGAGGGGATCGCTGACTACAGCCAGTTCCTGAGGAACGTAACTTAGAATGAAGCTGGAAACATGTCTCAAAGCGGTGTTCCTCCTTGCAATAAGTGCAAAAAAACTTAGACCGAGCATGAAAAAGCAGGTGCCAGTAAATAGGCCATAATAACAGTAATTCAAAGTTTAAGATAATAATCCTTAAACGAAATCTGAATGTTTAAAGGAGAACCCGAAGGTCAATGTAGCAACCCGAAGGTTAAAATGACTATCAAATCTGAGAAAAAAGAAGCAACCGACGATCAATGTGGCCCAAAGGTCGACCGGATCTAATGCTCACTCCGGAGACCTGCAACGGATTAATGTCGATGTTGAGACGTCGAAATAGATTGAAATGGTGATGCCATAACTGACTGTGAAACGGCAATGCCGTTTGTTTGAGGCCGAGAGACGGTTTGAAACGGCGATGCTGTTAATTTGTGACCGAGAGATGATCTTGAAACGGAGATGCCGTAAATTTGAGACTAAGAGATGGTCTTGAAATGGTGATACAGTAAATTTAAGATCGAGAAACGATCTTGATTACGAGAACGCGAAACATGTTAAGAGGCTGAAAAGCGGCAAGGCCAAAAATCTGGCAAATGAAAGCAAAAAAAAGGTGTTTAATTTGAGACCGAAAGACGGTCTTGAAACGGAGATACCATAAATTTGAGACTAAGAGATGGTCTTAAAACGGTGATGCCGTAAATTTAAGATGGAGAAACGATCTTGAATACGAGAACGCGAAACGCGTTAAGAGGTCGCAAAGCGGCAAGACCAAAAATTTGTCAAAGAAAAGCAAAAAAAATACGTTTAAACGGCTGCAAAGCAGCAAGGCCAAGATTTGACAAAAGAACGTAGAAGCGTTAAAAAAAAATTATTAGAAGAGAAATAATAACCCTAGCTATGATATCATGTTAAAGTAAGAGAGAGAGAGTATTGGATAAATTTCCCTTAAGTTGAATATTGAGTATGCACATATATTTATACAAATAGAGAAAGGTGAGGTGAGTTCTCACAACCAATGTGGGACTAAAACCCACTACTAACACTATTATCAACACTATTATCAACAGTTAGCTAATCCTTCTTAATGCGCGCCAGGATTTTTACCAAGTTGAGAAAATGCTTTTTTAAAATCATTAATGATAATGTAGGTCCAAGTAGTGTTTATAAATTATGTCCAGTACAGAGTACGCATTTTTCAGAAATTAATATTCAAGCTCATAAGTGTTAAAAAGGAACACGTGAATTCTGACTATGAAGGTTGCCTTTGTTTTTGAGAAGGAACAAAGAGGGAAAAGTGAAATAAGATTAGTCATAGTGCAGTAAGCATTTTTCACATTTCTCCACAGCAAATCCTTCAGGAACAGGGTTCCTGTATGCGTCTATGCATTGTTTCTAACAGTAAAGAAATGACCATCAAGGTGCATGAAAATTCTTGAGTTAGTTTCACCATTCATTCCCAAAAACACAACTATGTTGTGCTTCAATATTGAAATTTTGCAGTACTTAGGAGGAGACAAATTTAGTGGTTAAAGGTCATATACAACATTTCATATCAGTTCAGCCGTATGGTTCAACATAGCAAATAAATATTAGCACTTATGCCTTCCTAATACAACGAATGTTAAATATTAACTTACTTCTACCTTAAATTTCATCTGGTCCTGGATTTGGAGAACACACAGTTCTGGTTCGAGAAAATTTCACGGGGAACCTCAAGCAATACTCTTAAGATATTGAGTTATGTATTGTATTTGATTGAAGAATTAGCAATACAGCAGAAGTAACATTGAAGGCCAAATTAAAGAATTGCCCCAGAAATCTTACCAATCCACGGATGTCAAATGTACAGGACCTGCAACTTCGAACACACCCCTCTGGGAGGTCATCACGTTAAATGCTTATTACTCTTTTCCACTTAGAGAGACGCCACCGACTGCTTCAAGTAAATTTTGCTGAAGATAAAACACAAAAAGGACCCATTTCAAAAATTGCTTATTACTCCTTCCACCTCGAGAGATATGAACCAACTCTTCTAAAAGTAAGATTTAACCATATCCTTATCAATTCCCACATTTAACACAAATTAAGAAAGGAGAACTACAAAGTGAAAAAACTAAAGTCTCGTAACTCATAATCTGATTTCATACATTGTGATTATAACGTTTTAGTTTCAGTTTAAAATTTCCATAAATAATGAAACTTGAATGCATGTTTAAAATTCAAAAACTGTTGACTAAGTTTGGATTTCAGTTCAAAGTTTGGTTAATAGACCCGGGCTTGTTCTCTACCCCCAACCAAAGAATTAGCTATTTTTGGCTAAATAAGTCGTGCATATTCATCCTCCACAACTTGAAATCCATCTCAATCAAAACTTTTTCCATCTAGATATATTTTTGCACTCTCCATGTTGCAAAAGCTTTCCTCTCCTTAGCAGTACTAAAAAAACCACTGTATAACCCATAATCTTAGGGCATATATGGCAACTGGTCAAACTGGCTTATAAGCCACTACGACTCCCAACTAAATAAATAAGGGTGAATTATAGAAAACAGTCCTAAGGTTTGCATTAGTGACAAAAAGACCCCATAAGATTTGAAACGTGACAAGTTGGCCGCTCTGCCTCGTTTCCCACTAAAAATTAACTTCAAGGCAAACGCTATGATTCTAGAATGAGCTTTGCTACATAGACTTAAAATATAGGACCAACAGGGGGACAGGTGAGTTGTCCTCCTCCTATTGTATAATGAGATGGCTATCATTAATGATGGTCAGCTCATTATACAATAGGAGGGGGACTTAATGATGGCCAGCTCATTATATAATAGGAGGGGGACACCTCACTTATCCCTCCTGTTGGCCCCATATTTTGGGTCCTTAGGGAATTTTTCTTCTAGACTATGACGGTCATATGTGTTCCTACAAAAACATATAAATGATTATTGAATTAGAAAACAATGATTACGTACGAAAGATGATGACTGTTTTACTATAAAACGAGGAGGGTAAAGCAGATCTTTTTGTAATTCACGCAACAGGTAAATAATAAAAAATGAAGAAACAAACAAGCTTTGTTTGTTGTTTTTGCCCCCTTCATTGGTCCTCAATCAGCAAGTTTCGGAGATAAATTTGAAACCATTAAACAAAATTCTCCCTTATTCTTCATGCATCTAACTAAAAAGGTCGTTAATGCTCGAAACTTAACTATAAATGTTTACAATATAAACAAGCTTCCGTCTAGTGCTATGTGTACATAATCGTCAACTTTTATCTCAAGATTCCCCTTTTAATCCCACCTAATTTATGTTAGATTTCTTGTCATGACGATCCAAACTCTAAAAGTGTAATATGGTCTCATTATTCCTAAAACCTTAACAACAGAAGAAATTGAAAAGAATAATGTAAAGCTTTGCAGAAAATGCCGATAGAATATACTTCTCAAGAATCAAAACCAAATTGTAACAAAAATAAATGGAAAAAAAAAATATCTTCGGAATTATGATTAAAGACTCAAAACGTACTTACCGAAGGAAAAGGCTTAGGTTGCGACAGCCAGCATCAACTGAGAAAGGAAATAAAGTTAGGGATCACAAGTCACTAATCAATCAATATGAATTATTCTTTTTTTTTTTATATATAAAAACTAGAAGCAGATGAAGGTTAGATAGAAGGGGGCAGGAAAAAAACTTTTTGAAGTATAACGAGGGACAGTGAATCAAATATTTTATTATCAATTTTTCCTTCCTAACCTGCAATTGGGCGGTGAAGGAGATCGTTCGAGGAGAAAGTATCCGGTGGCCGCGTTAACGCGGTCCACCGGACTCTTTTTGTCTTGAGATTTTTCTTTTTTATTTTAATTCCCTAATTCCTTTCCCCCCTTATTTTTCTCTCTTTTTTTTTTTTAATCTTTCCTTGTTAAGGCAACGATTGCTGCAAGTTGGAAGGTAGGTAAACATTGCTTTATTAAGGCGTTTACGGCGTCGTTGGACGAACGAACGAAGACAAATCTAGGCCTTTTCCTAACGTGCGCTATTGGTTATTTCGTGGTAAGGCACGAGGATCCGAATATCCGGCCAATAAATATTGAAATCGTCATTCATCATCTAGTTGGTCGTTACGATTAAATTAATCAGAATATTATACTACTTTGGGTAAATTTCAGGAAACCGTCTCATCTATGCCCAGTGTTTTAAGTAACTCCTCCATTTATCAAGTTCAACAAAAAAAAAACCCAAGGATCTATAGAAATGCCAGTAACAGAGCCCTTAGTCAATGATAATATTGAAATACCTAGTACAAGGGTCTTATGAAATTTACCCTAATATTTTTGAGATAATTGTAATTTGATCTGATTATAGTTTATTATGTCTTTCTTCTTTTGATTTTTTTTTTTTGCCCCCTTTGAGAAGTACAGCAAACTGAACGCTAAAAAAGCTAGGTCCAAAGCATCATACGATGTTATTGTACATCTAGTCGAGAGGAGGTAAATAAATACCTATACTCATAAGGACCACCATACCTTGCAAGGAGAAACAAACTTGAGCACTTATTATGCTTCACCCCTCGACCCTACAATGACATTGTATTACCGGAATGTTCGAATCATCTAAGGAAATTAAATATGGAGTAACATACATGTCCCTTTCTTTCCTGATATCTTACATCGTCGCGTGCATAATGCTAATACCGTTTAACTAGCCTTGCAGCAACAGTTCCTTGATTTCAATAGGTTTGCCTGACTTAAATCATATCAAAACAAGACAAGAAACATGAAGCATGGTTAAAGTTAAAACACTCTTCAGTAATAATATAGCAAACACTCACCCTCAGAATGCTGTAGTCAATAATGAATGGATTACAAAATCAACTTATACATATATGTAATCAGAAGACCGAAAACATGATTAAACCGGAAAATAAGGATATTAAAAAAAAACCCTTGCTATCAACTATCAACTATTTAGCCCAAGCTACAGCATCAATCTCTGCTTGAGCACTTCTGTAGAGTTCTAGGCGCTTCGCAAGTGCTGTCCTACGTTCCATGACAGCTGGGTCTTCATCCAACAATGATGCCAACTGCTTAGACTGCAGCAAAAGAGAGACAACACATCATTAACAACAATGTCGTAGTATACAGCTAAAAAAACAAAATAGTAGAAAAATGTGCAACTTTCATTAAGCTATCACCATGACTTAGCATATGGTGCCAACGTTATCAGCAAAACTAGGGAGAAACCCTAACAGAAGGAAAAACACTTTTTTTCTTTTAGATGGCCAGAAAAGAAACCCCTACATCTGGAGAAAAAAGCTCCAATGGAGAAAAATCAAACCCAAAACCTCTTCAGGTGCATTACATGTCCACTAAACATAGATCATTAGACAAATATAATACCTAACAGTAGAAAACAGCTAAAAGAGCATGTAAGCTAATTGAGAAATTTTTTAGCTCAATCAATATCTCACCTCTTTCTTTCCCAATTCAGTGAAGAAGTGGTCAAGCAGGGATCGTTTTGCCTCACGAACCTGGCAATAAACAATGGACTTGGGGATGGAGTTTCGTAAGCTGGCACATACCATATTCACATATGCTAAAACCGTTGTTCCTGTTTATTCAACAACCAAAAGCATTTAACATAGCTTTCGAGAAATTGATAAAAGCTAATCTCGTACAGAAAAATGAAGGTTCAGACACATATATATCATGCGTCAATGAATTCTTCCACAAGATAGGATCTCAGTTCATGAAGCACAAGGGAAGAAATGTACAAGCGGATACCAACTTAGAAATAGAATTTACCTATTCTCCTGAGATATGAATCATTGTATCTGTCAAAAATTGAATGAGTTGGGTTTCCACCCTTCTCCACATCCTGAGGAAGCTTCCGGAAGAAATCAACTGTCAAGTAACTACATTCCATATCTACCATTTGAAGTGTCGCTTTCTTGCTTGATTCCTTCATTCTGTCTAATGAATCAAAAGCTGCATTACCAACCTCCACTCTGAGACTAGGATATTGCTTCAGCTCCTACAAAGGAACAAAACATACTCACGGTAACTACAACATATATGAAAGAAACAAATAAAATGTGGTTGATGCCATTGCAATCTTGAAATCTAGGCACATGAAATATAAATAATGCTATTTCTTTTCTTCCTCTTAAATTCCTAGAACTCAAACATAATATAGAAGTGAAATCAAACTATACTGATTTACTAAAGAGCGGGTGAAAATACACGATTAACCATATCGAAAAACTACATCTACTGTTTGATTTCCCAACTTCTTGAGAAAGAAAGAGGATACAATACAGGGTTTTTTTAAAACCACAGCAATTACACATTCTTCAGAAAATAATCATATTTTGGCTTACTCTTGTCTCAAAGATGGACAAAATTTTCTATAGGAAACGATATCATGTCAACTCTTACACTAGACTCTTTAATGATCTACAGAGAATCCTGTTCCACTTTCTAGCATTTGCCTAAAACTGCATAACCAAAATGGTCGAGTTCATGTATCCACCAATCGGCTATAAAAGTTCAATGGCATTTCCATTTAGCATTTCGGACATTGCTAAGATTTTGGAACAAGTGACAAATAATTATCACTAGGTTGATGGTCACAAAACTAATTATTCATGGAACTTTCTCAGCTGTTAGTCCTCCAGAATTAACGCCAATTTGGTAATAAAATACTTCACCAATGATACACGCCAAAAGCAGCATAACCTTTGTCTCAAACTGTTAAAGGAGGGCAAACCCCAAAAAAGTCCAGTGGTAGTTGTCAGATACTTAACATAACCCACACGTATACTAGATTTGGGACAGGCAATGAGATAAAAACAGAATGAGCATAATCTTTGCAGAGATCATATGATGATGGAACCATATGGATTCAAAGTAACAATTACCTGAAGCAAACTCTTAAGAATAAAAGTCCCTAACATCTAAATAAAACCTATTGTAGAGACAGTTCCCTTTCCAGGTAAGATGGAATTGAAGTCTCTATAAAAGTAATATAGTTACTTCAACCATGGACGCGAAGAATAACCTAATAAACTCCTTTCACATGGATTCTCCAAAATCAAACTGCAATATCATCTCTCTAAAAGGTAGATACTCTTGATCAGTGAACTTACTAGAGTCTCATTAATAGCTTTGTGCACCAGTTCCTTCAGTATTGCATGAACCTGAAAGCCCAAGAAAAATAAAATTCATTACAGTCACAAGCTGATCTAACTAAAGTCGGAAATAAAATCAATGATGTATGTTGAAAAATGTAGAATGGATATAAATGTGCGAAGAACTGCTAATGATAGATAAAGCTGCAACTGACTTTTTAAGATTAAGACATACACACAGCTTAAGTCACTGAATTAGGACTAAATGAAACTAAAAAAAAGAAGTGTTTGTTGTGGGTATTCGTACCGCATCCACAGCAGCCTCAGCAGGGCCCCTGATACTAACTAGTGACGATTCAATTAAACGACGATAACCTTGCTCAGGAGCTATCAAGTGAGGTTGATATCCATCTGCTTCAGTAATTAGCTTTCTTACATTTTCCATTGAAAGTTGCTTGTCAAACTGCAACCTTTTCAAAGCTGCTGGAAGTTGGTTATCGAAAACGTTGTAGACCTTTTCACCACCAGGACGCCTGTTATATAAAGAAAAGATCCATGAGAAAGGGTGATGATATAATCACTTAGCAAAAGGTTAAACAAATACATTAATTCTGGAATTTATACAGAGTAAGCTGGTTATCATATAGAGAACAAAATAAACTCATCAAGTTTATCAACTGCAAAAGTAACACGAACAAGATAATAATCAATCTATGAAAGAAGGATAACTTTTTTGGAAAACCTAAATTCTTGCTTTTATTACTAATTTCTGCAAATAAGGTGTGTTGTTTGTTAAGTTATAATGTATTCACCCATATCTAAGATTCAAAGGGTGAGAGCATATGAAGACAATATCCACAATACATATTAGAATTAATATAAAACTATAATCTTCGTCTCTCACTAACTTCGGAGTTTTGGTGTAATTGTTAGATGGACTAAATTTAAGATAGTACCAGAGCAACCCAGGTTCAACTCCCACCAGCCACGAATTTTAAGCGGATTTTCTAAAAATTAACACTGATGTGTGACTCCAGATTTTAGCCCATAAAAAGAGAGCGTTCAACTTGCGGAGGCATGTTAGAATTAATATAAAACTATAATCCTCGACCCTCACCATAACTTCGGAGCTTTGGTGTAATGGTTAGAGGGACTAAACTTAAAAACGCCAAAACTCCGAAGTTACGGTGAGGATCAATGATCATAATTTTAAATTGATTCTAACAATACACAAGCATTTACTTCAAGTTGAATCCTGACACTAGACATAAAAAATGCAGTACACACTAGATGTGCAGGTATTAAACCACCAAGTGTATAACTAATTGGTCAGTTCAATTAACATTTATGTACTTGATAATACAGCCACAACTTTTGAGTTCGTACGGGCCAGCTCTCCAGCTTAGTTTTCTAACTTGATGATATTTGCCCTACCTATTTTGTCTTATATTTCATCTTGCTATCATACATTACTATTTGTTGCAATTTAACAGAACTTTGAAGACATCACCAATTACTTTCAATACCACAACAACTGTTGGAGTGGCCAACAGCAAGCCGCATGTCGCGTGACTTTCCAATAAGCAAATATTTTTCATGTTTCGCTTATACTTTTCTGCACATATCTTCCCCCTGCTATACTTTTCTTCCAGCTACTTTCTTTTCCCTTTCTCTACTCTTCTTCTCAGTTCAATCTCTCCTATACTTCCTTACTTGTCCTTCTTCACGCAAATGGGCAAACCCACAATTAATATATTGTTTTAACATTAATAAATTGCTCAATAGTTTTCTATTGAGAAATCCACCATAAAATGGTGTTCCCTCAATGATTGCCTCTCATCTCAATTTATGTGCAAAGATTAGCAGCATTAGAACCTCAATAAGTTCTTCTATGACTGCACCAGATTGCAGAATATAAATTTTACTATGCCACAAATTGCATGTTTTCTACCATCAGTTGCTAACATAGCTATGCTAGGTGGCTTCTGACCTTGCATCCTAACATGTTCGAGAAAGAGACCATTATCTAGTGGAACTGACAATCCATAGCATAAACAACATTAACACTCAATATAAGCCTAAATTACAAATTAACCTTGCAAAGCTCATCCACAGATATTATCCACGACGATATAGAACAGTAGTTCATTGCGGTAGGCATGCATATGGCAACATAATAAGTTGAATGAAAAGATCATAAGAAAAGAAACAATTTCAGAATAATAAGGCATCTCACATACACGCCATCAAGATGTTCCTTGTAGATTTGATCAAAAACACGACAGATCTCCATAATCATGTATAGTTTTCCCTGCATGTAATAATTAAACATCATAATTAGAGGGAAAAAGGCAAAAACAAAAGGAAGCAGAACATGACATAAGATGCATGATTGAGGCAGAAAGGAAACAAAAGAAGCTGATCATCCAGTCCTGATGTCCGACAAGACATTAGTAACTTCTAAGTTAGACAGTTCAAATAAAGAGGGAGAAATGAACAACTTCCTAGGACCAGGTCACCAGAAAAATCAAGGTACAATACACCAAAAGATTCCTTAAAATGGATCCAGAAGGTATATAGATACAGATATCGATACACAGAAATAAATACAAATACATGAGTATAAAATATTTTTTTATTTATATGCATAGACAGATAAGACTTTTAACTTTTGGTTTTTCAGCACTTTGAATGATGTACATCAACTTGCAAATAGTGAATCTCCAACTACATTTTCCTATTATAAAATTTATTCATATGGTGAAAGAATTTAATATGGGAAGAATTTACATCCAAATTATTCATCTAGATGATTTGTATATCTTCAAATTTTGGTCATCTATTCCTTTATACAAATAGGAGGATCAGAGATTTACTGCTCATGCTACAGTAGATGCTACAGTAACATTCACTGTAGCATTATTGCTGTAGCTAATGGTTAATTAAAATATTACTGTAGCACACGGGTATACTGTAGCATTTGAAAGGTGCTGTAGCAGAGCGGGAAACTATAGCACTTTCAAAAATTCAAATCGTATCATATTAAAAAAGCGGGTTACTGTAGCAAAAAATTTCGTGCTTTGCACGGACCGCAAACTAGTATAAGATGAAGCGAACATGATAAATAATATTATAATGAAATGTCAAAATTTCAACATACTCCAGCATCCGCAGCAATGGGTTTCCCAAGACGGCTAAGCTCAGACTCAAGTTCAGCGATACTTTTATTGATGAGAGATTGTATGCCTGGGATTCGAGACTTGATTACTTGCTCTAAATGCTGCAAAGAATGGATGATACCTATTAGTCTATAAAAACACTGCAGTTATTCTAAGGTAAGATAAACATGTGATTTTATTGGTATCCTTCCTATCAGATGACATAGAAAAGGAACAAAAGCAGCACCTTAGACATCATCTTCCCCAGATGCTCAGAACCCATTCTATGGGCAAGATGTTTGTACTCAGGGCTGTTTGCAAAATATTCCCGCTCTCTACGACGAGCAGCAATCATGTCAACACTTTTATTAATGTCAGCTTGAGAGCGATTCACAACACCAATCCATGGGTACTGTAGCTTGTATGCTTTCCCTTCCAATATCTGAAAACCGAAACTTTAGTCAAGCAGTGCCTATAAATTTTAAGGCTAAAAAGATAAAGAGATCATATTTCAAACCATTTTGCTTAAAAGGTAAAAAAGAAACAAAGCTCTTGTAGGCAGAGCAATATAGTATTAGAAATGCAAATGAAATAAAGACAGCAGCTGTAAATATAAGATTTCTGCAGAGAGGCAAGCTGAAACTAGCAGCAAGCAACTATTTCAAAGGTTGTAAGCAAAAATAAACAACTAAGAAGTCAAGAGTGCCAGTCTAGTAAGTAAAAATCAGCAGTACTGCAAATAATAATAATAGTAATAACAATGAAAATTTTAAGATATACATGCTCAAGTTATCAACAGCAATAATATACAACGTATGTCAACTTACGTCGACTGCATCAGTGCCCTTATCCATGAGATCGATTTTAGTTAGCACACCAAATGTCCTCTCTCCTGAATTAGAAAACAAAAAGAATTAAGCATCTAAGATGAAACTAAAAGGAAAGGTGCAAAAGTATAGAATGTCCAATGATTAGTAAAGATGAGCATCATTTTGCTAATTACCAGCACTTTAGATTCCCCCTAGTAGTGTTTTAAGAGTGGTGTTATGAACATTTAAAATTAATAAATATAATTAGCTAGTTGCACAAGTGCAACTAGTTTGGAGGGCAAAATTACATTTATCAAGGACATAAGGAATGTATAGAATCAGTCTGGTTGCTTGTAATACATAAAAACAGATGGCAGTCTATAATTGTACAAATTCAGCATCCAGAAGCTCTCTTAATGGCTCAGGGACTGAACAGACACCATGTTTGATATTTTATCAGCGACAAGTACTTAAAACGAGCACTTTCATGATAGCACAATAAATATAACTAGTAGTCATACCTCACGAGCAACCATCTTTTGGAACATGTATGATACCTCAACATGATAAAAAAGCAAGTGACTTTTAACAGTAAAAAGCAGTGGGTTACTCTTTTGAATTAAAAATAATAATTAATAAATCATAAAGTTCAAAAAATTTTGAGAAAATAGGAACCTGTGAAACTGTGTGGTCCCTGTGAAATTAATATGGCTATGTTAAAGTTGAACACATAAATATAACAGATAAATAAATAGTGATGATCCTAAAATGCGGCTTCAGTGTCCTAGAGCCTCTACAGCTAATGTTTCTTATGACATTATAGCAGACTTTTTACAACAAATGGATATCTTGGTCCTGTTTCCCCTACCACATTGATCAAATATTTGAATGAAGATCCGAAATTGACATTCAGTATGACATGGAGATAATTAAATATCTCTCGCTAAAAATAAAAATAGTCTCATATACAAGTGTCCTCTTTATATATCCTCACAAAAGCATATACGAGAATGATTGCCAAAGCTTTGTCTTGTTTCTACAAAAATTGCAACAAGATTGTAAGCACATGCTTTTGTTACAAACTACACTACAAATTAGTGCCTGGAACTGCACAGCAATAAAAATCCAAGTTCATACCTCAATCGATCACCAAATCTGACACGTTTACTACCTTCGCAGGGCTACATTATGGATTCATTTATTTATTAATTCTTCCGTATCTTGCAGTTACATTATTTAATAAAGAAAGAAAGTCTGAGGTACCTCTGGAATCATTGCACTAAATTATTAACCTATTTAATTATTTACATTAATATATAATAATTGTTCGTTTAGCGGGGAAATAACACAAAGTTCAAAATGAAAAGGAAGTTCAAGTATTTATAGGAACACTATTGTGCAAGAATTTAGCATTGCATAGTGCACCACAGTTACCTTTGGGATCAACTTCACGGGATATCTTAATTGCATCAGATGTTGCAAGATCTTGATTAGCCGGGGATATTGCTAGAATTATACAGTTAGGCTGCAAATCAGAACAAGTAAATTTAAGATTTCAAAAGCTATAAGCAGTTCATCTTCGATGAGTTTACATTAATATCAAGAATACACTGCCTTAGTATCAAGAAGAATAGTTGAATTAAGGACCATAGCAAAAACCAATACATACATCATCAAAAGAACATTATAATGCTTGATAAGGGAAGGTAAGACCCCTTCCCCTAAAAAGTGATAAACTTATCCACCCACATAGTGCAATTACCTTTTCAATATACGACCGCACCATGTTCTCTATATCTTGTACAATGCTGTCAGGTTGACCCTCTACAATCCATTGTAAATTAATTAGATTCTAATTCATGTTTACCTTGGAAAATGAATAAAAAGTTTGGCATGTGCAATGATGGAAAACTTACCAACAGCCACCTTAGTAAGCCCAGGAAGATCAATAAGTGTCAAGTTCACAACTGCAAAAGTAAACAATTAGCAGAAGGGGCAAACTGGAAATTAATAAGAAAAGTTAAGGCATGAAGATTAGATCAGATTCCTTGAAACATGCACTACAACAACGCATCCAACAAATAGTAATGGCAATTGTGTGTGATGAAGTAATAACCAATTAATCATCTGCGAAGGCAAATCGTGATAAATGACATCATAAACTTAGTACTTAGGCCATTGAACTCATAAAAAGGGTAGCATACAACAGTAGTTGACAAAGTCGATTGCTGTAAAGGTGAGAATGTTCCATATCAAAACAATAAGCACACACCCGTTCAACATCATATTGTAATCCTTCTGCCCTGGTGATTTGAAAACGCTACCTCGACATTCTGCCTGGCTGGCAATGCTTCCAGGAAAATCAAGTTTCTATGTTTTTTTGTCATGTTGGAGACAGCCCATCGGACAATGCCCCCTGAATGCACATGAAACTTTAAATATAGCAATGAAACAATTTCATTGCAGCCTTAGAGCTTTTGTGTGTAAGATACTGACACTAGATTTATCAGATAAATGCCCAGAGCTATCTTCCAGAACTTCTCCCCAATTTCTTTAGTTGATTATGCATTACATACATGGGACTGTATGCACATAATGGGCCTGTATCAAATTTGTGGAAGTTCTCTGCTTCAGACACACTTCAGGACACAGAAAACTTGACACTCATGTTCCATGTTCATGTAACACTGGCATTGTCAACCCAACCACCAAGGTGACCTGCCACCTCTGACCCCTACCACAGCGTTCCACACATGTCAAGGCTTATCCTATTCTCTTTCTGCCAACTGTATTGAAATCAATCATCACATTATGGTTAGACCAAACCATTCGAAAGACGAACATTAAGATCACATTTCAGGGACTACAACATTTTGAGATTGGCAGGATGTGTGAAAATTGACCTGAGGAAAGCGTTTGACAGTGTTGACTGGGGATTCCTGAAAGCTGCCATGCTGGCTATGTGCTTCCCCCAGAAGTAGATCGAATGGATAAGGGCCTGCATTACTACCCTCATCAAATTTTCCATTGTTATCAATTACCCTCCACGGCGATTTCCCCAGTAGTAGAGGTCTCAGGCAAGGAGGACCCCTCTCTTCTTATTTGCCATTGTCATGGAATATCTATCCTTGCTCTTACAGATCCGTGAAGCGAAGCTCATTAACCTACCTATAATACACATCCTGTCTCAACCAAAAACTAGATCCTCAATGTTCAAAATCACTTTAGTCATACTTCAAACTTTATCCCAATAAACAGCCCTCTAGAAATACATGTTCCTATACACACTTTCAGTATCTTAAAGAAGCCCTCTAAAGCTTACATTCTCATATCCAAATAAGCAGAAAATGGTCTGAATAACCACACAAGAAATTGAGCATCTGAGAACCGATTAAGTTCTTGGTTTAGAAACCGAGATGTAACTGTAGAAATTCATAACTCCAACACATGAAGAGTACATTTGACTAGATTTCTCTTCATGAATTAGGCCTTGTTCAGCTTCCTGCTCCCTTTTCAATTCACCAGGATTGGGTGGTTCGGAGCAGATATTCCCTGTGAACTGATCAACAAGGACTCAGGTTTGCTCATTTCACTATAATCAATCAAACCACACTCCCCCGCCCCCCCCCCCCCCCCCCCAAAAAAAAAAAAAAAAAAAAGCGCCAAACCATACTTGGATCAACTTGATTCAGAGTTAGTGAATCTGAAGAAGATAAGACATGTTGATAATTAGATATTCATTCCTACATCTCGCTTTCAAGCTCACGCTCATCACTTAACACTGAAAGACCAGAATATCCTCTACATACTCCCTTCCCTCTTGCTAAAAGAACCATTTAAATTACTTAGATCCAGAAGTTAAATTTTGGAAAGAGTTGATATACTACAAAGTAAAAGAGACATCAGTATGTAGTCGACTTATTTATACAGATCCTCTCCAGTGAACTATCTGAAAACATGTATTTGTCTATTAACAAGAAATGCAAGCTAAAATAGTAAAGTTAGGTGGGAAAGAAAGAGAAAACATAGACGAGGGAAATTAGAAAAGTAAACATAGACAAGAGGTTGGTCAATTGATTACCGTGAAAAAATTAAAAAGAAGGTAAAAATTATACTAAAAGACCACATTCGTCAATAAAAATATAGGATCACTATATGTTTTGAAGCTCAATGGAATAAGATCATAGTAATTCATTGACTCACCGTTCGGAGAATATATGCTAAGATGAATTGGAACAGAAGAGATTTGCTTGCTCCGACCAGTTTCTCGATCAGTTTCATCTGCAATCTCCTTCCGCACTTGAGCTGCACGATATAACCAAAAATTGCATGTGAATTGTCAAGATGATTAGCGATCGACACCCAATAAAGATATTACAATCTAAAAAAGAAGATCATTTGACGTGAATGGGTATTCACATGCAAAGTTAAATCCATGTAAATATAAGATGAATCAAATCAATGACGAATAAATATAAGAGATGGAGACACTGAGGGGTTGTTTGGTTCACATTGAAATGGGCTGAAAGCCTGGAAATTGGTTCCATGACATTGTCAGAGCAGAAATTTAAACCCCCAACCCCATTACATTTCTCTAGTTTGT